CAAGACCTGGTACAAGTGGTGAGTGTGGGAATGCGGGGCTGGGGAGTGGGGCCACAGCCAGGCCTGCCCATGTCCTGACCCCTGGACCGGGCATGGCCACAACAAGCCTGGTGCCTGATGGGCAGCCAGAGGGAATTGAGGAAGGGATGTCGCATTGGTGCCCTCCCTTCATGCCCTGGCACTGGCACTTGCCAGGCACTGTTGCCCTCAAACCCTGTGGCCAGCTCTGCTGGCTACAATATGTGCACTGGTCTTTATTGACCCCTTCCACTGCCTTCCTCCTGTCCCTTCTGTTGGGAGACAGTGGCAGGCTGTGCTGTCACCTGAGCACCTGTGTCCCCTGCCGTGTCCTTGCAAGGTGCTGATGCCCTTTCCTCGCCTGCCGCCCTGCGGGATTATTGCCCTTCCCTGCCTCCCATTCTGCCTCGGCCTCCCAGAAGGCAGGCTGAGGCAGGGATGGGTTTGCTGGCTGGAATTGCCTTGAGGGGTGTTAGGTCTGAAGACAATGCTGGCACCGGGACAGCTGTGGATGGAGGGCTTGGCGAACAGACAGGGGCTGGAAACTGGGAGGTTTCTAACTGCTGAGAAGCGGGAATGGCACAGTGGGAAAGGACCAGCCCGCTTTGATCAGTGGCTGGTGGGAATGGTGTGACATGATGGCTGGAGCAGAGCGTCCCCTCACCTGCCACTCGTGGCATCTTCAGGGGCACAGCTGAGCTGCCATTGGGTCCTGGGTCTCCTCGGGCTCCCGTGGGAGAGGAGGGGTTTGTGCCACCATGGGGCTCTGTGGCTGCTCTCGGTGAAGCAGCAAGCACTGCTGACACCATTGGGTGGGGACTAGGCTGAGTGTTTCGCCTGCTGGGAGTGAGGATGCTTAAGACCTTTGCCCTGGCAGGAGGAGCACCCGGAAGGGGGCAAGCAGGGCCGACAGCTGTGACTCAGAGTCTTGTTACATGGCAACAAAACCCCGCTGGGGCTGTTCTGGGCGTTCCTGGGTGGCCGGACACTCTCGGCAACCTCCCCATGTGTTTAGGAAAACCCAGGGAAACCAGGCAGAGCAGCCTTGTTCTGTGACTGAGGGCTTGTTCTGAGCCAGGGCTGGGCTTCACCCTGAAGCCAGGCAACCCGCCAGCTGTCTCTTGTCCCATGGGGCTCTTGGGGCTCAACTTTAAGCCTTGTCCCCATTCCCAGGTGCTGTGACAAGAGATTGTGGACAAAGATAGATTTGAGCAGGTGCAAGTCCATCACTCCCCAGGCACTGAGCGGCATTATCAAAAGACAGCCAGTCAGCCTCGACCTCAGCTGGACCAATATCTCCAAAAAACAGCTTACGTGGCTCGTCAACAGGCTGCCAGGTGAGTGTGGGCTGGGAAGGGGTCCCTACCTCTGCTGCCAGCCTGCTCCGAGGCTTCTGGATGGCTAGACCACAGTGAGAGACAGGCTTTGCACTCTGGTATGCACCAGCTTGAAAACTCCGAGGTGCCTGGATCCCGTCACGCAGCAAGCAGCTGATAGCGATGAGGTTTTGTGCTGCCTGTGTTAACTGCTCCTTCAGAGAGCCCGGCTCCCCGTCACACCCCAGGCGGGGAGGGGATCTGCTTCCTCATGTGCCTGGAGAAAGAGGGTAGAGATCTGGGACATCTCTGAGCTGGCCAAGCCAGTCTGACTTGTTACCTCTCTCCCTTCTCCCGGCAGGCCTGAAAGACCTCATCTTAGCGGGCTGTTCCTGGTCTGCGGTCTGTGCTCTTAGTACCTCCAGCTGCCCCCTTCTCAGGACCCTCGATCTTCGGTGGGCAGTAGGAATCAAGGACCCTCAGATCCGCGACTTACTCATGCCTCCAACAGACAAACCCAGTAAGCTGTTGGTCAAGCTGCCACGGGACAAGGCTGGGGCGGTGGTGACCAAGGAGGGTCCCTGTGGGTTGTGAGGAGCCAGAGGAGGGTGATATGTTGGGCACAGAGCGGGTAAGATGATGATGCTGGATCTGGAATGCCCCAAGGCAGCAGGGCAGATAGTCCACGCTTAACTTCTCCTCTCCCTTTGCAGGTCAGGACAATCGCAGCAAACTCCGCAACATGATTGATTTCCGGCTCGCCGGCCTGGACATCCCCGATGCCACGCTGCGGCTGATCATCCGCCATATCCGCGTCGCCTCCAGCCCCTGCAACCACCTTCCGGACCAGTCGGCCAACCTCCTCACGGCCATGGGCTCTTCCACACGCAGCTCCCTCACCGAGCTCAACATGGCAGGTGGGTACGCTGCTCCAGGTGGCCCAGGTTGGCCCGAGGGTGGCCTGGCAGGACTCGCTATTGTACAGCGGCTTCCTCCTCCCAGCCTGACACAAGAGCTCAGCTCCGGCTTGGTGGAGGTGTTGCAGCTCACTTCCTCTCGTCTCCCTTTATTGCAGGCTGCAATAAGCTGACGGACCAGGCCTTGCTGTACCTGCGCCGCATCTCCAACGTCTCTCTAATTGACCTGCGAGGTTGCAAACAGATCACCCGCAAAGCCTGTGAGCACTTCATCTCGGACCTGTCCATCAACAGCCTCTACTGCCTGTCCGATGAGAAGCTGATTCAAAAAATCAGCTAGAGACCCTCCCCGGGGCAGACTGAGGAGAAGGAAAAGAGCCCATCCCACCCCTCTCGGAGAGCCGCTCCTCCACATCCCCACCTTGCCCTCCGTGTCCTGCCGCTGCCTTCGGCAGGCAGGGCCACTGCTGGCCTCGCTCCGTCGTCCTTCCTCCTCCTCCCCCGGGACTTCTGCCAATGAAGATGTCCCGCCAGGCTGGCCAGTACCAGAGGAGGAACGGGCAAATGGCAAGGAGCCTTGGCCCTGGAGCTGGCCGCTCCCAAGGCGGAGGTTGTAATAGAGATCTCTGTGCAGAGAAATGGGGTGCCCTCTTCCCGCAGCTTTTCCCTTCCTCCCCATCATCTCCTTGCCTTGAAACACTTGTCACTTCCCCGTTAGCACAAAGCTTGAGGGTCAAGGTCTCTCCAAGGAAGCGGGAGCAGAGCTGGAATTAAACCCACCCCTCTGTGCCACCGCCAGCTCGTTGCTCACCCTGTGCTCTCAGCCCTTGACAGTTTCCCTCGTCCAGCTGCAGGGGCTGTGATCCAACCCCCTCCTTCTCCCACCACTCTCATCTTTTTGTGTCGAGGGCAGGAGCCCTGCAGCCAGGGTTGTCATGTGTTCTCTGGACAGGAGCAGGGGCTTTGCAGTCCCCTCTCCCCCTGCCCGGGGAGATGAGGCTTCTGCTCTGGGGCAGCACCGGCTTTCCTGGAGCACAGTCTGTCCTGACGCAGCCCTGTGCAGAGGTGATGGCCGGGGCCGGGCACTGGTGGGGAGCAGGGGAGAAACCACAGGTACATCAGAGCTCAGGGAGGACTCGTAAAGCATCAGCCAGGGGTGAGTGAGCGCACGGGGAGACAGGAGCTGCCTCCTCTTCCTCCCCAGCTCCCTGTGCGTGGCCCAGCATCGTGAAGCACTCTAGGGCCACCGCAGCTGGAGGGGCGAAGGCTTCTCAGTCTTGCCCAGGGCACTGTGGCCTGGGACCGAACTGGCACGAACACCCCACTGCATTGTCTTCTCCTTCCCCCCCACCCCCTTTTAGCTGCCATTTT